AGCTACTGTGCTCACTCCAGGGCTGGGCAAGCTCCCGCAGCTGTGGAGAATCTTGAGGCAGACAGTAAAATGACGCCTGATGTGTGCTTGAGATCTGGGAAACCAGCCACCGTAAGGGCACTAGAACCGGGGGCACCAGGGATGTTTTCTATACCAAACCTCATCCCTAAACACTAATTTCAGTTCTTGCAGAGCTGATGGATACAAGGTGATACCAAGCTGGGACTGAGAGTACCATAGGCCCGTGTGAGTCCTGGACAAGTTTCCTAATGTCTAAAATTGAAGGTGTTCATATCTACCATCCACGGTCATTGTAAGTATTTGGTGAGCTAACATGTGAAAATGCCCAGCACAGTTCCTAGCACATTACAGGTGCTTGATAAATATAAGTCCTCTGCCATCCATCTCCAGTAAATGCCATAGGGCTGTCCTAGCCACCAAGGCAAAGGGCGTAAGGGTCCTTGCAACTCTTCACTTGTGCTTTCCTTTTGGTTTTTGAGGCTGACTACAGTTTGAGCAGCAATGAACAGCAACTTCAACTGGAAACCCAGCTCAGCAACTGCTGAGATAAACAGAAAAGAACACAGGAAAGCAAATAGGCAAGGAAAAGGAATGAAAGTGTAATGCAATTTTATAGAAAAGGAGACTTGTTCTTCTGGGACACTGGGTAGAAATCTTAATGAGTTACCTTAATGAGTGTACCTAAATCCTCTTTGGTACAAAGTCACAAAAGGGAAGAGAAAGAAAGGAGGAAGGGAAGAGGGAGGGATAGAGGGAGGGTAAAAAGAAAGAATAAATAAAAGGAAGGAAGGAAATTATCCATTCATCTCTGCAGAGACTCTGCTGAGCATTAGGCAATATGACTTGGGAAAAATTGTAACTGAAACTTTTCTAAAAACCTTTCAGAGAGGTGTTTTTCCTCAGAAAAGCATCATCAGGGCTGTTCAATATCCAAGGCAAGTCTTTCATATTACTAGACATGAAACACTATTGTATCTGAAACTGGCCGGAGGCCATTTAGAAATTCAATAATTATTCAACCCAAGGGGCTTTCCAAATGGTGAAGCAGCATCTTGGGAGGAAATTAATATTGAGCAATGTATCCAGTCTAATTGGAATCTTGAGGAAATGGGGTCCTGAGTAGGTAAAACAGCTGGAAGCTAAAGTAGGTCAGGACAAGTGATCCCCTCATTTTTGTGTCTTGCCTTAATTATGATGTGAAAAGGAGAATCTTGTTTATTTTTTATGCCAGGAGGGCAAGGTGGTGGTTTGGAGACACTCCTTGTTCATTAACAGCCACCTTCAGTCAGACAAGAAAACAGCTTACTTCTTTCATTTCTTTCCACAGATATTCAAGGATAGTTGAGAAGGCACAAAAGACTTTTTTGTTTGTTTCTTTTGCCAAACATGGCAGTTCGGAGTTAAGGAGTGACTTATTAGCCATGGTCGTGAACACTGATCACAAAGATGGTAAAGCTGTGTTTTTTTTTTCCCCTTCAAGAGAAAGTCCATGTGAGACCCTCCTTATTTTCCTATTTAGCGGGGAGGGGGCACAATCAAGTTGGAAGCATCCGTGACACACCAGCCTCTTCTGTCTTCCTTTGCACCTGTCTTCTGTCTTCTGTATGCATCACTTTGAGAACACAACTTCTTAAGCCCATTGAGCACACAGTGGTCTGATTCCCCATCTTAGAAAGACTCACTCTTAAATTGATTTGGGGGATCTATGCTGTCTTTACATGAGACTACCTTAGAGTCCAATTCTCCTGGCAACTAACTCTCCTTAGCTCATATCTACTGACCTATTTTAGGACAATTCCTAGAGGACAATTCTTCTCCTTTATTCAGAGTCTGAGGCAGACCACAAGTGTACTATACCTGGTGTGTGTCAGGCCCAGAACAAAAACACTGTGCTTCTCTCTGGGGAAGAGTCACTTATTCAAAATTCAAATGATTTAAAAAACAAACAAAACCTGAAAAAACACCGTCTGGTAGGGAGATCTGAAGGGACACTGGATCACTATGAAAAACACAGAAAAAAAAAAAAAAAAAGAAAAATACAAAGAGATAGCTCCAAAGAGCAGGAAGAAAGATCACAATCTCATTTAAATAAAACTAATTAAAAAAATAACTTGGGAAAGAACATTCACTCTGCTCCTATAGAACGGAAGGCAGGCAATTGTCCATAATGATTCCAAAGCGTACCATCTTGTTTAGCTGCACTGGGACAATTTTGAACTGTGTCACAGGTTTTCCCAGCCCTCAAACCCTGTGACTGTTATATGACTCAGTTCCACTTCCACAAAATGGGATTGATAGAATGTGGATTTCAGAGGAAATGATTATAGACATCAACAATAGTCATTATAAACGGTAAGAATTATGCTAGCAGGAAACATGCTTTAACACGTGGGTTCTTGTCATGACTTGAAATTGCTTAAAAAGTTTTACATATATATGTACTAGATATGTATAAAAGATTTATATAAATATCTTTATACCATATATATTCACGTATTATACATATCTTTTGTACACACACACACATCTCTTCATTATTTCAGTGCCTGGGGGACACATGCACATTCATTTCCAGGACCCAGAGATGCCCCATACAACATTGAGACAATCTCTCCAGGATTATGATCAGTCAGGGTTTTGAAAGCAAAATCAAAGTAGGTAAGGAGGAAGTGTGCCTTACTGTTCAAGATTCGTTAAGTAGACAGTTAGTTGTGTTAACTCTCATTGCATGGTATGAAAAGAAGGACTCTGGGAATGTCTGCTCTTTGTTAGTAAGCTGCCTGTAATAATTATGGCTAGCACACAATGCCAATGGGTAATCAGACTACCAAATTAATAGGAATAACCTCTCACAAATCTAATTTGAGTGAGCACTGCTCTCCAGAGCAACATGATTGTGAGTCTATGTTTGTCAATGACTGCGCAAACATGTTTTCTCCACTTTACTCTTTTGCAATGTGTTATGATGTTACTATGGTGACGCTCTTATGATATCCTTTTGCTCTCATGGTGCCCTCTCAGTGGAAGCTCTAATGAGATGGTTTGGCAACAGAATCTTTCTGGGATTTTTCCCCATACACCATTGAAGACCAGCATGGCTTTCCTCTTACAGGAAATGCATAAAGCATGAACTGAAAATGGTAGAAAGTAATTTGCACTGACTTGGGTAAAGAATGTGAATGTTATTAATACTATACCAAACTACCCAGAAATATTCTTTTTGCTCCCAATTCTAGGAGATGACCCAAGGGACAGTAAGGCTTCTAGATTGAGTGTGGAATGTCACACAGCTGAGGGCTAGGGTCTCTTGCCCTCCTGAGGGAGGAGCTATGTGAGGGTGATGTGAGAACTATGTGCTGGAAAGAAAAAGAGATGGAGTTTCCGGAGCGCATACTATGTGACAAGCACTATGCTAAGCACATTACATGCATCCCTTGACTGATTATTTACTTACCTTATATTATTTTATATTTACCCCATTTTATATTATTTACCCCATTTTATAAAATGACACAGCTAATATGGGTCTTTCAGACTCTGAAGCCCATTCTGTTAATTACTATGCCACCTTGTCTCCCTAAAATGCATCTTTCATTTTTTTAAAAAAGATTTTATTTATTTATTTGAGCTAGAGAGAGAGTGAGAACAAGAGCACGAGCTGGGAGACAGAGGGAGAAGGAGAAGCAGGCTCTCCCACTGAGCAGGGAGCCTGACTCGGGACTCAATCCCAGGATCCTGGGGTCATGATCTGAGCCGAAGGCAGACACTTAACCTACTAAGCCACTCAGGCGCCCCAAAATGCATCTTTCAGATGATCCTGTCTTCTCTCTTTTCCCTGGAAGAGCTTGGAAGTGAGAATCATAAGTGCTTCCATCCTATTCCCTTAGACTTATTCCATAACTACTTGGAGAGATTTATCTGAAACAGCTTGAAATCTGACAACTTTATCTTGGACAGGCACACCCTTGGGGCCTTTTCCACTGCTATATGGGGACACACAGCAGCAATGGTCATGAGATCTAAAATCAACGTCCCAATCTTATTAGTTGTGTAATCTGGGGCAAGTCAATTCTTCCAGCCTTAGTTATTTCACCTAGGAAATGGAAATGGCGAAAATTATACTTGTCCAAAGGTCAGGAATAACCTAGTTGCTTTCATTATCTATTTTTGCTCACTTTAGAACCTCTTGGGTCTATGATATATGAGGCTGTGCTCTGGACCTAGAATGACAGATCATGATTGCCCTTTTATAATGTGGCAAACAGAGCAGCCTCTCAAAACATTTTATCAGCAAGAAGTTCACTTTTGTCTTCTACTTACTGCCTTTTGAGTTACAGCTTCAGACATTGCTTTGGCAGCTCCTTCAGGTAAACTTTCTCCATTAATAACTTAATGAAAATCATTACATTTCCCTTGATCTCTAGCCTAGCATTCGGGATCCCAGCCCTTATCATCTAACTGCACAGAGTCCCCATACCAACTAGATTAATCTTGGTTTCCAGGACACATCTAGCATTTTTCTACCTATCTTTACAGGTTTTCTGTACCTGAAACAACTTTTCTAACTCCAACGATGTCCACCATCTTTATTTATTTATTTGTTTTGATTTTTTTTAAAGATTTTATTTATTGGGGCACCTGGGTGGTTCAGCTGGTTAAGCATCTGCCCTCGGCTCAGGTCATGATCCCAGGGTCCTGGGATTGAGCCCCATATCGGGCTCCCTGCTCAGCGGGGGTCTGCTTCTTCCTCTCCCTCCGTGCTCTCTTTGTCTCAAATAAATAAATAAAATCTTAAAAAAAAAAAAACTCAAAAATATATTTAAAAAATATTTTATTTATTTATTTGAGAGAGGAGCAGAGAGAGTGAGAGAGAGAATACAAGCAGGGGGAGGGGCAGAGGGAGAAGCAGACTCCCCGCTGAGCAGGGAGCCCGATGCAGGGCTTGATCCCAGGACTCGGGGATCATGACTTGAGCTGAAGACAGACGCTTAACTGACTGAGCCACCCAGGCACCCCAATGTCACCATCTTTAAGTCCAGCTCAAATGCCACATCCTCCTTGAAGCTCTCCACAGTCAACTCCATCCAGAATTAATCTTGTCTCCATGCTCCACAGAAATGTATTGGTCTCTTCTATACCTTCCCCTCCCCCACAGTCTCCCTTGTATTATTGCTAGTCATATTTCTCTAACAGGTTATAAGCATCTTGAGGGCAAGATCCCAGGCAGCCTATTGCTCCATGATAGTGGCAGGGGAGTGTGAGGGTTCCAGCTATGGATTTAAGCTACACTGCCAAGTCTAAAACCTGCCTACATGATGTACTAGCTGCATGTCCTTGGGTAAGTTCCCTTATCTTTCTGGTCTATAATTTCTTCACCTGTATTTCCTGCATAGGGACCTTGTGAGAATTAAATGAGACATTCCATGTAAAGTACTTAGCAAGTACCTGATGTATTGTAGGTGCTTAACAGATGTTAAATATTTGCAATACCTATAATGAGTTTTCTTCATTAATTAAGTCAACACATATTTGAGGGCCATATTAGCGTGTTCAGGTGTATAACAAAATACCATAGACTGGATGGCTTAAACAACACACATTTATTTCTCATAGTTTTGGGGACTGGGAAGTCCAAGATCATGATGCTGGCCAGTGTGGTTCCTGGTGAGAATCTTGTTGGCTTACAGATGGCCTCCTTCTCACCCATGTCCTCACATGGCAGAGAGACAATCGCTCTTTTATTGTTTCTCCTTATAAAGTCACTAATCTCATCATGAGGGCACTACCCTTAACACTTCATCTAACCAAAAGGCCAGAAGCAATAACCCTAACTACCTCTTAAAGGCTCCATCTCCAAATACCATCACATTGAGGGTTAGGGGTTCCACATATGCATTTGGGGGCAGAGGGAGGTGGGATATAATTCAGTCCATAGTGAGCATCTATACATTTATTGAGCTAGTCCGAGGATAGAGTAATAGACAAAATAGATAAAAACCCATGTCATGTAGAATTTACATTCTAGTAGAAAGAGTGAGACTGTGGAAGACAGAATAACGGCCCCCCCAAAGGTCCACATGTTTATCTCCATAACCTGTGATCATGTTACATTACATGGCAAGTAGGAATTGGAGTTGCAGACAGAATTAAGGTCACTAATCAGCTGACTTTAACATAGGGAGATAATCCTGGATTATTTGGATGGGCTCGGTGTAATCCCAAGGGATTTATAAGTGGAAGAGGGAAGTGGAAGAGGAAAGCAGAAAGGTCAGAATGAAGAAAATGAGATCTTGACTGCTGTTGCTGGTTTGGGAGATGGAGAAATGGAACCACAGGCTGAGGTATGTGGGCAGCCTCTAGAAATCAGTAAAAACAGGGAAACTGATTCTCTCTCCTCTATAGACTTCAAAGAGGAACCCAGCCCTGCTGACACCAATGAGACCTGTGTTGAACATCTAACCCCCAGAATATAATAAATTTTATTGTTGTACATCATTAAGTTTGTGGTACTTTGTTATGGCAGCCATAGAAAATTAACATGGGCAAAAAACAGAAAACGAATACAGGGATATTTTGTGTGTGTGTATATATACACACACAGTATATATATATGTATGTATTGTATATCAGATGGCAATAAATTCTGAGAAAATTGGAGCAGGGACTATGGATAGGGAGTGTTAGAAGGGGAAGGTGATAATAATTTTAAGCAGAGTTGAAAGAGGAGCCCAAGGAGGATCTGGAGTAGCAAGACAAAATATGACAAAATATGATACCACTTTTACTGGAATCACATTGGCTGCTTTACTGAGAATAGCATATATGGGGGGGTGGCAAGGTGGAAGCAGGGGGGCCAGATAGAAGGTTATTGCAGTAATACTAGCTACAGGTATTTGTGGCTTGGACTGAGGTGGTGGAAAGAGGTCTATCAGCATTTGGATATCTTTTGAAGGTAAAACCAATGAGATTTGCTGATAGATTAGAAGTGGAACAGAAAAGGAGAAAAGTCAAAGATGATCCTGTGATTTGGGGCTTTAAGCCAATGAAAGGTTGGAGAGGCCATTCACCAGGATGGGGAAGACAGCAGTGGAGCAAATTTGAGGGAGAGGATGGGTGTATGTTGGGTGGACCCTTGGTACCCGAATCCTTCCCTTCCCCTAGTCTTTCCCTTCAGATTGCTTTTCCCTACAAGCCAAGAACCATACACCATAAGGAATAATAGCCAGTGGGAAACAGTGTCTTGTTCAATTCATGATGGAGCCCGTTTGCTGTATAACACCTATGCAGAGCTCTGATAAAAGCTGGACTGGAGAATGAGGGGTAGCCCAGGACGCTACAGATGGAATGTTTGTGTCCTCCCCAAATTCATCTGCTGAATCCTATACCCCAGTGTGATGGTTTTGGGAGGTGGAGCTTCTGGGAGGTGATCAGTCATGAGGGCCGATGCCTTATGAACAGGATTAGTGTCTTTATAAAAGAGGCCTGAGAAAGCTCCCTGCCCGCTTCTGCTTTGTGAGGACACAGTGAAAAGCTGCCTATGAGAAAGCAAGCCCTCACCAAACACTGAACCTGCTGGCATCTTGATCTTAGACTTCTCAGCCTCCAGAACTATGAGAAATACCTTTCTGTTGTGGGGAAGCCCCCAAGCTTTGTTGTAGTAGGCCCACCAGACAAAGACACAGGAGGACCAAGGAGGGCTTGAATCTAAATGCTGGCCCTTCAGAGCACATTGTGAAGGTGGAGCCACCCTTCTCCAGCCCACGAGGTCACAGGGCAGAGAAGCTGGGCCAGAGAGTTGGCAAGAGTCGGGGCACCATTCGCCACACTGACCCCGCTCCCTGATAGAAATTATCCAGGAAATATTGATGGCTCCCTCCCAATCACAAGATTTACCATTCCTCCCCAGGGAAGAAGCCACTAAGGGGCTGGAAGTGGGATGAAAGTCCTCTCTTCCCACAGGCAAAGCTGAAATGCAAGGAGAGAGGGAGAGATGGTTCCATTAATGTTTATTGATTAGAATTGAATGCCCTCTTCACCTGCACATGCTCTGCTCATCTGTAGCCTGGCGAGTGAGTCCTATCTCCAAGGGCAGAAGTTGGATCTCAATGTTCTGCTTCAGTTTCTGAGCCAAGAAACCTTATTTTTCCTCTCTTGACAGGACAGAAAAGATCCTGCCATGGGAATTGTTAGGCAGACAACAGACTTCCCAATTAGGGACTAGCGAGTTAAAGGGAAGGACCATTAAAGGTAAACTGGGGTAATTCAGAGATACTTCCATCCTGGTTGTTCTGGATGATGACCAACGTTCTGATTGCCATGAGGTCAAAAGGACAAAAGGAGCTCTAAAAGCAGTGACTAGGGTTTGAGGCAGTTTGGAAATGAAATTGCATTACTCAATAATGTAGAGAATCATTGCTAAATGGCTGTATATTTGTATCTGACTATTTTCCCCCCTCATGTTTGAGTTTCATATTCACAATCTCCACTATCTTTGCATTGCCCAAGTGACATAGAATTAAATGAAATCATTTAATCCAGTGTTAAGATCATTAGACCATGACTATTTGGCTATTTATTAAATATTTCTTACAACATCAGAAATGACTTGATATTGCAGAAGATGTGTGTGGTTTTAGAGGTTCTCATTTAGTAGTGGTGGAAACCACTTTTGGGCAGAGGATGTTAACCCCTCACGTGTCTTAATTTCTACTTAATATATTTCCATACTTCTCGGTGCCTGGGTGGCTCAGTGGGTTGAGCGTCTGCCTCCGGATCAAGCCGTTCGTTGGGCTCCCTGCTCAGCAGGGAGTCCGCTTCTCCCTCTGCCCTTCCCACCCATCCATCCCCGCCCCTGCTTGTACACACACGCTTTCTCAAATAAATAAATAAATAAAATCTTTGGGAAAAAATATATATTCATACCTCTTTAAAGTGTGTAGTCAGAATTGTAAAATGCAACCCTTAGTCATTTGGTACTCTTCAATCGATATGTATTAAGGTGCTATAGAGGAATAAAAAGATGTGGAAGACATTATTTTCCTTAGGAAGCTTACATCTAGTGACTCCTACTATTAAGAATACTTTCTATGTTTAATTTACCCTTAAAACCATCCAGCAAGGTAGATAATGCTCTCCCAATTTACAGAGGAAAATACTGGTTTAGAGGTCATAGACCAAAATCACACAGTAGAAAGTCGCAGGGTGTGCCTGGGCTTCCAAGACTATGCTCATTCCACTACTCCCAGGTTGTTCTAGTAAATCTGCCAGAATCTCAGTATTTTCAATGATTAATGCTCCCCTCTGTCAGTATTTTCCAATATAGTCTTTTTCAACAAGTCAGAAAATCTTGGAGAAGGTGATTTCCCCCTTTCTAGGTGCCTTGGCTGTGTGTGGACCCAGAACGCGTCCTTTCGGATGCGTTATCTTCCTCTCCGCCCTCGTGAGAGGGTCCGGGTCTTTTCCGCAGGGCGCGGAGCCCGCGTAGACCGCCCATTCCCCACCTCTGCAGGAGGCAAGAGGAGTCTCCAGGCGACCTGACTTCTCTTCCCCACGGAGCTGCCATTCCGCGGGCGGCCACCAGGGGTCCCCGCCCGGCGCCCCGCGAGATAGCCGCGCGCTGGGCGCGTGTGGGGGCTACTTCGGAGCGGCGGCGGCTGGAGCTCGAGCCCCGCTCTCGCTCGCCCGCGCGCTTCTGCAGACCGCGCGTGCTGGCCCCTCGCCGCTCGCCCCGCGCCCGCCGCGTGGATCCGCAACCGTCGCGCGTCCGGCCCCCGGCTCACCCTCTTCCTCTGGCGCCGGCTTCGGCTGACCCGGCGCAGGAGCCGACAGGGCCGCGGGCTGAAGGTAAAAGCCCACGGTGAGTGAGAGCCCGCGCGGGGCGAGGCGAAGTGGCGCCGCCCGGCAGCTGCTCGCCCCCAGTGGCGCCCGGGCGGGCCCGGGTGCGGGG